AAAATCAATGTCCACAAGTCAGTAGCATTTGTATACGGCAATAACAGCCAAGATGAGAGGCTAATTAAGGACACAACTCCCTTCACCATAGCTTCAAAGAAAATGAAGTACCTAGCAATATATCCAAGAAAAGAAGTGAAGGACCTCTATAAATAAAATTATGAAATCCTAAGAAAGAAAATAGCAGAGGATATTAACAAAATGGAAGAACATACCATGCTCATGGCTGGGAAGAATCAACATTGTTAAAATGTCTATCCTTCTCAAAGCAATCTACAGATTCAATGCTGGAAAAAATATTTCTTTGTTTTGTATGGAATCAGAAAAATCCCCATAGCTAAGGTAGTTCTTAGTAACAAAAACAAAGCTGGGGAGCATCAACCTACCAGATTTTAGGCTGTACTACAAGGCCATAGTGGTCAAAACAGCATGGTACAGGCACAAAAATAGAGACACAGACATTTGAAATGGAATAGAAAAGCAGGAAATGAAACTAACATCTTACAGCCACGTAATTTTTGATAAACCAAATAAGAACATACACTGGGGTAAAGAATCCCTAGTCAATAATGGTGCTGGGAGAACTGGATATCCACATGTAAAAGACTGAAACTAGACCTGCACTTTTCTCCACTCACAAAAATTGTTTCAAGATGGATAAAAGACTTAAAAAAAAGGATGGATAAAAGACTTAAATTTAAAGCATGAAAAAATTCTCAAAGAAAGCATAGGAAAAACACTGGAAGATATCCACCTGGGGTAGGACTTTATGAAGAAGACATCCATGGCAATTGCAGCAACAACAAAAATAAACAAATGGGACTTAATTAAACTGAAAAGCTTCTGTACAGCTAAGAAGACAATAACCAAAACAAACATAGAGAACCTATGCAATGGGAAAGCATATTTGTATATTTTGAATCAGACAAAAGCTTGATAACTAGGATCCATAGAGAACTCAAATTAATCCACATGAAAAAAGCCAACAATCCCATATATCAATGTGCAAGAGAGATGAATAGAACCTTCTCTAAAGAAGACAGATGAATGGCTAGCAAACATGAAAAAAAGCTTATTGTCCCTAATTATTAGAGAAATGCAAATCAAAACCACCCTGAGATATCATCTAACTCCAGCAAGAATGGCCCATATCACAAAATCTCAAAACTGCAGATGTTAGTGTGGATGTGCAGAGAAAGGAACACTTTTACACTGCTTGTGGGACTGCAGACTAATACAACCTTTAGGGAAGGACGTATGGAGAACCCGCAAAGAACTCAAGCTAGACCTCCCATTTGACCCTGCAATCTCATTACTGGGCATCTACCCAGAAGGAAAAAAATCCTTTTACCATAAGGACACTTGCACTAGACTGTTTATCACAGCTCAATTTACAATGGCTAAAATGTGGAAATAGCCTAAATGCCCACCAACTTAGGAATGGATTAATAAGCTGTGGCATATGCATACCATGGAATACTATTCAGCCACTAAAAACATGGAGACTTTACATCCTTTGTATTAACCTGGATGGAAGTAGAACACATCATTCTTAGTAAATCGTCACAAGAATGGAGGAGCAAGAATCCTATGTACTTAATTTTGATGTGAGGACAATTAGTGACCTAGTACATGATGAGAGGTGGAGGAAGGGGAGAGCAGAGAGAAGGAAGGAGGGTTTTGGTGTGTGACACACCTTTTGAGGGCAAGACACAATTATAACAGGGACTTTACCTAACAAATGCAATCAGTGTAACCTGGTTTCTTGTACCCTCAATGAATCCTCAACAATAAAAAAAATCATCCTCTTTAATATTATCATGATCAATGGAATGAATATTTCCATGCAACGTGCTTTTCAATGGCAAATACAATCTAAGTGCAAAAATAACAGATGCTTATAAGAGTTTCTATGGATTATTATGACATTATTGATAACAATTATCAACAAAATAGGAGACGATCATGATATTGCATGTCTGCACAAGTGCTCATGGATAAACTTCTGATAGAATATGTTGATTTTTGGATTTTTGTCAAAAGAAGATATATAGGGAGGAAATTAATAGATCTAGGATCCATTTTTTCCATCAAAGGGCAATTTAAATTAAACTCTAACTTTATAGGATAACATTTTGGACTTGGCTACTGATGATGGATTAAAGATGCATTTTGAAAATACAGGGTCACGTGATTCCTTTTGTAAAAGTTAAAAATAACAATATTGAGCTTGTTGAAATTGCTTTACAATTTCTTCTATTTCTGTCAACATGCCTCTGTGAGACCAGTTTTCTACCACAAGTGTCATTTTTTACAAAAAGCATCAATACACTTTCTTTATAAATGATCTCTTAAGAGATATGTTGTCATAAATAGTACTCAGGTTATACAAGTTAACAAGTAAGAAGAGTACTCATTTGCCACATTAAAATCATTAAATATGGATATGCAAGGTGTTTGTCTAAAATGTACATATTGGCATTTAATATGGAGAATTGCTATTCCTTTTTAACTTTGAGTTTAATTATGACTGGGGAATAACAAAACGTTATGAGTATAATGTCAAGCCACTATCTTAATCACCTTTATGCATTTTTTCAAGTGATCAATGTGTATAGTTTATATAGATTAAAATTTTTCTTATATTTATTCTGTTTATATTTATCTGTAAAAACAAACATTTTAGGCTTACATTTTGTTTTTTTTTCCCTTATTTTATTTTTGCAGCAATTTATTTTTACTGTATTTTACCAAAAAGCTTAGTCACTGATAAATCGCAGGTTTTAGAAAAAGGGTCTTCCACCACAGATACTTTGAGAAGCTCTACTCTAGACTAGAGGTTGGCAAACTTTCCATAAAGAGCCAGGGGTAAATATTCTGGGCTTTGTGGGCTGTGTGGTGGCAGCTGTCCGACTCTGCTGCTGTACCATAATAAAAGCCATGCAGAGTACGTAAATGGGCATTGCTGTGTTCCAAAGCGACTTTACCTCTAGACATTGAAGTTCGAATTTCCTGTAGAATATTCATGTGTCACAAATAATTATTTTTCTTTTGATTTTTCCCCCAATCACTTGAAAAACATTTAGTTTTCAGGCCACAACTTGTGACCGTTGATCTAGACCACGAGGGAGGAGCAGGTCCCCATCCACATACCAGCAAGCCCATGTGGGCTCCTGGCTCCACGTGGTGGGGTGGGTTTCTAGCCAGTGGATTCACATTTACTAAACACCTAATATGTACCCAAGATGCGGAGGAGTCTTGGGCCCTCCTGTGGTAGGGTCATATGGACTTGACTGGTCAGCATGCTCAGCTGATGTGTTTGACTTCTTTGAGCATCTATGAGGAGGCCCCTGGCTGCAGGCTTGTGGACCATGGAGGCAGATAGTGTGGGGTGGCTGCACGTGTGCTTATGAGTGAATCCTCGGGGCACCTGTTCCCAGGAGCCTTCCTGGGAGATTGGGGTGGGGTGAGACTGGCTTCCATGATTAGAAAATGTGGGGGTGATAGAAGCACCAAAAGGGAGGGAGGGGCATCCCCCTTTCAGACAAGGGGCTTACCTGGAGATACTGCCAGGTAGAATCTGATGGACTTAGAGACAGAGTAGCCAGAAGCGCGGTAGCTTTTACACCAGTAGTGTCCTGAGTCTTCCTCCCTCAGACTAGTCATGGTGACAATGAAGAAGCCAGCATCAGGGTCATCCCAGATTGAGAATCGAGAGACCTGAGCCAGTGTTCGGGGCCTGGAGCTGATGACTAGCTTGGTGCACATGAATTCTGACTTCTCTCTACACCAGACTTTCTTCTCGTACAACCTGCCCGTGGGTGGATATTGGCATTTCAAGGATAGCGTCTGCCCTGCTATGCTTTGAAGTTCTTGAGCCTTGGGTAATGCCCAGGAGCCTGCAGAACAAGGCCATGCACAGAACCTGCCCCACACCAGGCCTTGGGAAACAGAGCCACCTGCTCCCTCACCCCTTTGTCCAGACAGTTCCCGCCACACCTCTCCCCTCTCCTCCCCAGGCTTTTCCTCCTCTCACCTGGGAGCAGCAGCAGCAGCAGTTGTGGGAATGCTCTCCGGGCCCAGTTCTTGTCCTGTGTGCTGGTGGGAGGGGACATGGGAGCCGACTGGGGAGAGGGAAAAATGGATAGGATGAAAAATGAGATGGAAAAATGAGACAGACCAAGGTCTGGGTTGTGAAGGTGGGAGCCTAGGGGGCAGATTCCATGGGTGCAGGGAAGTGAGGACCACTAGCTGCAGGTGTGACAGGACTGACATGCAGCTTCCTGACCTCTGAAGAAGACATTTGCTCTGCCTGTGCCCAGCTGACCTCTCCTGCAATGACCCACCCCTGGGGGAGGAGCTGAGAGGGCCAGAGGGAAACTGTGGTCAAGTAGCCGACTGCCTCCCTTCTTCTCCTTCCCTGTGCACTGCCTCTTCTTTATAGGACCCCAGCTTTGCCCCCCTTTCCAAGGAAAGTCAAGGTTAAAAGTGGGTGACAAGTTCAGGAACATTGAGGCCTGACCATGGTCAGCCCCAGTGGTCCTGGGGGTGATCAGAGACATCACACCCAAGCCTGCCTGTTGGGTCAGTAATATATTTTCCCCCTAGGAGGTTTTGTGGGTGCTAGAGGGGAGAGGAGAGAGCAGGAGGAGAGAGCACAGAGGAGGGGGCCTCAGAGAGGGTGAAGGGTAGGGTCCCAGGAGCCTGGACCTGGCCTCATGTCTGCATCCTCAACTCTCACAAGCTTGGGAAATTGCAGAAATACTTGTTTAATTACTACATAGTCAGCGGTTCTCAACCTTCCTAATGCCCGGTTGTCACAAATGGAACAAAGGAGTCACGACCCACAGGTTGAGAACTGCTGGCAGATGAAAGCCTCTACCATCTCTTTAGTGGATGTCAGCACTCTTAAGATTTAATACTTAAAAAAAAATTAAGTCAAATACACATAGATCATGAATACATTCATGCATATGTAGGGTACAATGTGCTGATTTTTTAAAATACGATCTTATGTGGTTACATTAAACCAATCCACATAGCTTCCACCTCATTTACTTGATTATTGTGCCAAAATATTAAGATTTAATACTTGACAAGAGACGCAATTTACAAAGAGAGAGAGAATTCCTACTTGGAGGGGTGGAGAGGCTGTGTGTAATGGCGGTCGCGCCTTTGGAGTCTCTGCCCAGCTGATGTCAGTACAGAGTTAAAGACCAAGATGGGAACTGGAACCTCCCAAATGTACTCGATTTTGCGTTCACTGGTCTGCCCACCCCAGGATCCCTGCTTCCCCTCCACCTTGGGGAATGCTCTTCTCCTCATATAGAAGGAAGCAGAGACTGAGGATGAAAAGGGCAGAGGGATGAACAACAGGAGGACCCAGTGGAGACAGCAGGTGTCTGGGCTCAAAGGATGAGCCAAACCAGCAGGCTGGAGCTGCAGAGCGGGGTGGGTGGCATGGCAGGGAGCGCACCGTCCTTCCCTCACACGCCTGCACTCCATGGCTGACGTGTGCCTAAACTCTCTCTCATTACTTTTCTTTTTCATGGACAAGGGAACTGAGGCCAGACACGGCCAGTGACTCCGGTGACCTGCTTGAGGGCGCACTGTAAGTTGGTGGTATTACCAGGACTTCTGACTTCTGACAGGAGTTCTCTGGCTGAGGCCTGGCTGAATTGTGACCCACAGACAGGACAGGAAACCAGGGGGGAGGTAGATGAGCAGAGAGGATCTTGTGTGTGGGGGTTTCCTGACCTCCAGTGGGGCCCAGCTTCCTCTCCTTGAACATGTCCGTTCAAGGGATGGCTCACAAGTGTGTCACTGTGTGTGAGGGTGTCAGCGACTACTTTCCCACCCTCATTCTCCCCTTCTCTGACCACAGCTGTCTGCTGAGAAGTGACACCTCCTCCCTGTAGGCTCCCAAGAGCAGCCCTTGCTACATTCCCCCAGCTTTGTCCCTGTAGCCTGTGGTTGGCTCTGTGCTGTGCTTTGCTGTGTCCCATGGGACAGGATGGGATCTGTCCTGTCTGCTGTGCCTCCCCCCCAGCATGAGAGGGTGGGCACCTTCCACACAGACTTGGGACCTCGGTTACCCCAGGTGGAGAGCCTGCTGGAGCTGTCTGGAACCTCACTCTCCTCCAGCATCTGGGACCTGACCCCAAGGTGGGGAGTAGGGTGCCTGAGCTTAGTCTCAGCCCCATCTTAGGTGGGGTGTTCACAACAATCCCTGTCACAATTGAATTTTTGTAGGAGGGACCAGGATAGGTAGCTGTGGTGGGATTTGGGGTTCCTCCAGAAGTCTTGTCAAGAGATGGGGACCAGGAGTCACCAGGGCAGGGAACAGCTAGAAGTCCTGTTACCACTCTGCCACCGTCTGAGAAGGCCCCTCGGGGACCTGGGAGCCTGAGCAACCTCCTCACCCAACCTCATTGGCACTCATGCTCACAGGGGTCCAGAGAAGGAGCCAGGGAGCTGAAGACATCATGTTCCCAGAGGGTCCACTCCTTCTCTCCTCTTCTTGAATGGGCCTGGGACAGACTGGAGCTCAGTTTCTCTGTCTGTAAAATGGACACATTATGTCTTCTTTCCCACCCATCCCAGGCTGTTCAGTGACTCTTTCTGTGGCTCTCTCTGATCTGGGGAGTTCTGCAGGGGACTGTGTCAGACAGCCCCCTCCCCTGACTCCTCCTCTGGTCTGATTTCCGGTGGACCTGACCCCACACCCACCGACCTAGCTCAGTTCAGTGTCTTCCTCATCCTGTGTGCACAGACAAGCTTGAAACGAGATTGTGCCCTCCCTAGAGATCTGAGGGGCTGACAGGCCCCTGATTAGGACCTGTCTTTAGCCTGTTTTTCCGTGGGATGCTGAGGTGGGAGGAAGGCCACGTAGTGAAAGCAGCAACACAGTGGGGAGAGGAGAAGGGTCTGCTGGGGGGGTGGGGGCAGAGCTGAGCATGGCTGAGGGCAGTTTCAAGCTTGTCCGTGCACACAGGATGAGGAAGACACTGAACTGAGCTTGTCAGTGGGTGTGGGGTCAGGTAAACTGGGAATCAGACTAGAGGAGGGGCCGGGGAGGAGGGAGTCAGACCCCAGAGCAGCAGCTTCCACCCACCCTTCTGCCCACAGACCCCACTCTGCAGGCCTCACACTTGCCAGCCAAAGCTTTTACCTTTTTCAGTCTTTCGCCTCCCTTCTCTCTGTGTCTGGGCAGAGTCCTCCCAGAGGCCCTGCTGGCCTTGTCTTGCATAGGAGGCCCCACACCTGCCTCTGGTCCTGCTGGTGCTCCTGACTTTAGGTGAGGGGCAGGGAGAGGTGGGAGCTGGTTGGGGAAGAGGTGTGGTGGGGTGTGAGGTGCAAATGTGACACCAGGTTAAGGGTTTCTCTGGGGTCCATGGGTGGGGTGGGATGCCCCATTCCTCAGCCTGACACGAAGACCATTCTCTGACTTCTGGGTACAGAGATTATACGACCCAGTGTCATAGTTTCTCTTTGTGCCCAGGCTTAACCAGCCCCTGCCTCTCTCTTTCCACCACCTCTGGGTTCACTTGTGTTCCCAAGAAGACCCAGTCTAGCCTCCAGCGGTGGCTCTGAGCCCAGTAGGGCTTGGGTTTCACCAGAAGGGAGATCTGGCCTCTAATGCAGGAAGAGGGAGGCCAGGGAGGCATAGAGGTCTGCAGGGGTCCCCAGGACTCAGCTCAGAGCTAGGATACAGTGGGCAGTGGGGAAGGAGTAGCTCTAAATTGTCCCCATGATGGAGCCCAGAAATAGCCACGCTAGCAGGGGTAAAATGGTATCAGTGGTTTCATAACTGAGGGAAGTGAGGCCCAGAGAAGGCAAGTGGCCTGTCCATGGTCACTCAGCTATTTCAGGGCTGGGACCTAGGCCTCCTTCTGGACTCAGAGATTGTCCACAGGCACCTCCTAAGCACCCTCCCTGCTGCCCCATTTCACTACTGTTGATCCAAGTAGTGTTCCCCCTGGCCCTCAATGGTTCTGGATAGTTTGGACCCTGCTATTGGGAGCTTTGGGTCAGAGGCCCAAAGGGGGTGGGAACAGTCTGTTTTATACCCCTGGCCCCAGTAGCTCTCTGTTCCCACTCCAGTAGGATCTCTCTGTCAGTAGTTACCCTGCCTGGGTGATTCCTGCCTTTGTGGCAACTATTAGTCCCTTTCTGGTTTTTGCAGGCCCCTGACTCCCCGGATGCCAGGTTCCCTCAGACCTGGGCTCAACTCAGCTTTCTCCCCACCAACCCAGCCAGAAGGGCCTTAGGGACTGCTCCCACCATCCTGCAGTCTCACCCACTGCCCCTTCACAGGAAGTTCAGGGTGGGTCGGGTACAGAATCAGGCTCCAACCCAAGAGCCAGGCCTGGGCTTTGAAATGCCGGGGGCAGCAATTGCCCCAGCTGGATCCTCTCTGCTTCTCCCTCCTCCCTCCTTGGAATGAAAGTCCCCTGTCCTTGGATTTGGCTGCCCTCAGGGCCCTGCTGTCCATGGTGTAGACTCCTTGTGACTGAGGGCATGGTGCTGTCAGCCCTGCAGGTGCTCCTGAGCTGCAGGTGGGCAGCAGGTGGGCGGGGGGGGAAACGGAGCACAGCAGGGACAGCTGTGCTGGGAATGAGGGATAAGGTCAAAATCACAGAGGAAGGCCTGAGAACTATACTTAGCTCCAACTTGACTATCCTTTGACTGTCATCTTTGCCTACTTATTTGCTGGTTACAAGCCGCCAAGACCTTGCCTTTGAACTCTTGGGCTCTGGCTCACATGTACCTATGTTCACACAGACGCTGCCGTCACACTCACTCCTTCAACAAGACCACCAGGGGCTGGCAACAGAGCTGAAGTGGGTAGACATGGCTTGCCTTTCACTTCATGAAATTGCATCTCTTTCCTCCATAGCCTGTGGACATCCTGAGCAGCAGCAATGGAGGTCTCTGATGGCCTCAGCTCAACCCAGTCCCTAGGACTGTGGCCTTGTCAGGACTCTGTGGAGGAATTAGCCAGTAGCCTATTATAGGAGCCAGTTAGGGGACAGACGTGCAGATATGGGTGTGAGGTGGGGGCACCTGAAGAGGAGGGAAGGGCAGGAAACAGCCTGCCCCCACTGGCTCCTTG